TCTAATCCCTGACATTCTGTGGTTCTGTGATCTCCCTGGGGATTTAATCTTCCTAAACAGTGCCCCGGTGGAGAACCCATCACGCAGACTCATCACCTTCACCGCCGCAGAGGGAGCCGTTGTGAAACTCGCAGTTCATGTTGTCGCACTCGCAGAAGGTGCCGTAGATGTGCTTGTTGGGCACATCGCTGGTGTGGCAGATGCACTGCCCACACACACAGTCCCCCAGCCCTGAGCAGATGACCGAGCTGTTGTCCTTCCGGCAGCTGCCCTCCAGCTCCTTACTGGTCTTGCCTTTGGTTTCACACTCACAGTTCTTCCCCATGTAGCCCGCATTGCAGCTGCCATCAAAGGAGAGGAGCAAGCCTGGGTCAGCAGCCACAAGAAATGCTGTGGGGCACGTCTAGGGCCCAGACCTCAGCCAAAGCAGAGCAAATATGGGATGGCCTCACCAAAACCCAACCATGGTATGTTGGTGCTAACTCCATGCTGGAGTAGGGCAGCTGATCAGGAGGAAACCCTCAGAAATGCTGCTGTCCCTGCTGGTCATACTGACACCACCAAATGGTTGCCCAAAAATTACTGTTAGATTTATAATTTCCAAACCTTTGCCAAGGAGATCTGAGTGTTTCCTGAGGAAACCCAGTCTCTTCCTCTCCCTGCCACCGAAGGCCATGAAGCAATAACTGCACCTAAGGACCTCTGTGAACTATAGCCCCAAAGTGGGATTTTGAGAGATTTCAACAGAAATGTGTGTCTGCTCGAGGCGTGGGTTGGTGGATGGTCGGATGGTTGGATAGTTGGATGGATGGGAGGGTGGATGGATGCCCTTAGGAAAGCAGCAGAGACTTGACCAACAGAAGTCAAGTCTGTTGGTCTTGACCAACAGAAGAGAGAGCTCATTGTGTCCCCTGCCTCCCTGGACATAAACCACCTCTCTGAATAAGAAAAGTGATGCCAAGCTGCAGAGCCAGGCCATGACTGACCACCATGTGTCCACCCCTCTGTTGAGCCCTCACCTGGCCCCATGTTCTCCAGGTGCAGAGCTGCTTGGAGGAACCAAGCACACCATGCAGCTGCCCTGGGCTTGGCCCAACAGCCTTCTCCCAGCAGCTCCCCAGCTCTGGCAACATTTCAGGCAGTGTTTTGGTGGGACAGCACGTACCTGCAGATCCCACAGACGATGGTGCCCTTCCCGCTGCAGGCGGTTGGGTCGGGTTGCTCACTGCAGTTGCACTCGCAGTTGCTGTCCAGGTGGACGGTGAGGATATCTGTGAAGCCCAGCGGCCGGATGGTGAAGGATTGTCTTTTGATGCACTCCTTGGCCACAACCTTCACTCTGAAGGTAACCTAGAAAGTGCAGAGTGAGAAAGGGAAGAGTCAGAGGCTGCCAGGTAGCTTCAGTAATCAGATGGTTCTATCAGCCCCAGGCTGAGCACATGCATATTCAGCACAACGGAGGATTCCCCCATCACACAGACTTTTGAACACTCTTGGCATTGAATTCATGTAAAAGGAAAGCCTGGAACAACAGGCTGGGTTCCTGCCATGAAACAGGACAGGCATCATCAGGAACCTTCCAAGCTGCAGGACGTTCCTGGTACAGGAGAACTTACCTCATGGTTGATCTTGACATTGTCACACTGTCCTCTTTCTTCGTCCATGACAATATTTCCTTCACTGCATATGGAGTCGTATTTGACATCCAGGACGTCTGGCAGGACGGAGTGGTCCAGGATGATCCGCGAGGAGAGGTTCTGTGGGAAAATGGTGTAGAAAGTGCCATCAGTCCAAGAGGAGACCAAAGCAAGGGGTGTGAGATTGCAGGTCAGGGCTTCCCCCTAGCCCAGGGGATAGGGGCAGGGAGCACCCCAGGCTGGGGTCTCAGCTGCTTGGAGTGATTCTGGAAAGGCAGGTGATAGCACTGGAGAGGCAGGAACCTCTTGCTTGCTGTGGGCAGAGGGACTCAGAGGTCCTCAGAGCCCTGGTCTCAACTGCTCTCTGATGGTGAGGACACACAATGGGAAGCTTTCCCTGCTCCAAGCTCTGTGAGACAGGTGAAGCACAGCCTTCTCCAGCACTTACATTGTAGGCCACCTGGATGAGTTCAATGATGTTGCTGGAGTCCTCGTTCAGCTCTCCCACCGCTGACTTTGGGATCAGTTCACTAAGTTTCTGCCAACAGAGAGCAAAGAGGTGAGCGGTCCCCCCCCTTGTGACAGGGAAGCAGGGGACAGTGGCAGGAGGAGACGCACAGTTGTTTCTGTCCTCCTGGGGAGGGATGGAAGGCACCTGGACTGGACCACCTGAAGTCTCCTTACCTTGTAAACGTCCACCATCTTACTGGTGACAGCAAAAATGGGCTGAATGTTGTTTTCAGTAAGTTTCTGAACCAGCTGGCCAACAGACGGGTAGTCCTAGGTGGGGAGAGGGACACCATGCTCAGCGTAATCTCCCCCACCAGCAGAAGGGTGGATAACTTGGGTTTCTCAGCCCAAATTATGGTGATTAAGGGGACCTTGTGGTCTCAGCAACAGGCTTTTTACGTGACTTTTCTTTTTTTCTGCCTGGGGGAGCGAGGCTGAGGGTACAGAGCCGCTGAGCAGCCCCCCAGATACTTACAAACTCATTGCTCTTTTTGTACATGTTGTCCTCCAAGTGGCACTGGCCATCGTTGGGGGTCAGGATGGCCGCGAGCTTGCCGTCACCGGCGAAGTGGAAGCCGTCATCGGTAGCGTACACCAGCAAGCGGGTCACGTTGCGCCTACCCCAGCAGGCGGGTCGCGTCCCGCCAGCCGATCAAGTCCTGCAAGTGGCACGGAGACCTGTCCCTGAGCAGGGCTGGCAGGATGGTGCCAGCGGGCACGCTGTGGCCCTTGCCAAAGCACGGCAAGTCTCCTGCCAGCCAGGGTGTGAGGCAGGGGGCATGGAGGAGGTGGGTAACAGGAGATCTGGGTCAGGCAATTGGGGTAAGATGCTCTCTTGTATTCCCCAGAGCAACCTGCCCTGCTGCCGAGCCAGGGCTCTGACATGATGAGCTCCCAGAGCCCACCTGGAGAGGGGCAAAGCCATCTCCTGAGGAATGGTGCATGAGCACGGCTCGCAGC